CCAGCGTGATCGCTTCCTTTAAACCGTATGGTGTTCTTCTGTCTATCGGTTTCCATCTTACAGAACCTCTGGGTATTGGGGAGGTTGAAATGTTCACTAGTGTTGAGTTTTCGTCTTATTCACATTAGGCCATCGGAATGGATCATCTCTTTTGTTATGCTTCTTTTTCTTTCACAGGAGCCGTTCCAATCGCCCTCTATTGTCCATACAGTTTGCCATGCTGTGACTCCCTCAACGGATTCAACGACGATGGCAGTTCGTCGGCCGAGAAGTCCTGCTAGGCAAAACCGTGAGTCTTCATTGATACTATTATGCTGTCAGTGAATGCTCACGAGTTACGAAGAATCTCTCATTTCAGGGAGTAGATCCAAGTCGGCAGTGCGCTCACAGCGATCGCTCTCTGTTTCTCGGCATCAGCCGGACATCCAATTGGAGGAGGCCTGCCAGCATAAGCAACATGATACTCTAGAATGGCTGAAGACTCTGAATATTAGCAACAACCAGCTGGAATCAATTCCTATATGTGCGAAGAACAAGGTAGGATTTGAGCAGGTCTTTGACTGCTTCAGATATGGAAGCTTCACTTCATACTTTATAGTCTGTAAATACGACAGAAGAAATCGAGGACTTTCTTTGCTTAAACTTACCATGTTTAGGTGCTTTTTCCGAATCTAAGCGTCTTAGACGCAAGTTCCAACATTATCAAAGTGATCAATGCTGATGTATCGCGATTGAGCAGCTTGTCGGTTTTGAATCTAACAGGAAACAAAGGAATCCAGACATTGCCTCCAGAGCTTGGAATGTTATCACGGCAAGTTCTTGTCAGTCATTGTGCGAGTTTGCGCATCCTTTTAGCCAATGTCTGCACATGGCTGCTATAGTGTTACTGCTAGGCATATAAATTGGAATTGTTGCAGGTTATGGTCTCTTTCTTTGAAAGGCTGTCAATTGAAGGAGCCTTTAGATTCAATGGTAAATACGGACAATTGCAAAACTGTTGAAATTGTAGCTCACCTGAAGACAATTCTGGAAGAGTGAGTCCTATTTGTTCAATTAAACATTGGGTTACACACATTTTTTGTTGTCATAATCTTTGTTCGTTTGTTCGAGCAAAAACTATTAGTTGCTAGAGGTTTTTTGACATACTATTGCTTAGACATAACCAGGAAGACTTCGAAGTGCTCATTTTCCTGGAACCGTTTTTTGTACGCAGGCAGACTCAATGTTTCACTACCGATTCCGCTATAAGTGCGTTTCAGTAGTATACGTCCACCCATCATTTCAATAAAAACGTTCCTCAAATAACTGGTCCAATTATGCACCGCACACATTTGCCAGATTCGTAATATAAGAAAACGGTTAACAACATTTTCTCGGACAGGAAAGTCAACAAGAAAATTTTTTAGAATTATTTTTCCAAATTTTGGCCGTTTCATAATATACGTCCACCCTTCATAGATGACTCGGGAAAATTTTTCCTGTTTCAACCGGGGTACATATCCGTACCAAAATCCAAGACGACATGTCTCCTTGCGATGCCGGAGGTGGAAAACCTGTCTTCCGTCGCTCTGGTGAGAAAGGCCAGATTCGGGCTCTCACGATGCCGGACTCAGCCGTCGACAGATTGCCCGGCAAATCGGCAGGACTCACTGCGTGGTTTGCTCTTATCTAAGAGATCCTGAAGCCTACGACAACGGAGGTGCCCGAGGACGTCAGCGCAAGTTGTCCAACAGAGATGAACGAGAAATTTGGAGGAAAGCCTCGAACAGCACCAGCAGCGTCAACCAGATCCGTGCAGACTTGCAGCTGTCTGTCTCGAAAACGACCGTATGGAGGGCAATCAAACGCAGTGGCAACATCGTGAGAGAGGTTATGAGAAAGGCGCCACGCCTTACCAACGCGCACAAGATGGCTCGCCTCGAGTTTGCCCGGAAGAACGCGACCACGGATTGGAGACAGGTGCAGCTGTAGAACTAGGCGAAGCTTATGCACTGTAGAGTAATTTAAAGTCTTTAGGTGATCTTTTCCGACGAGAAGAAGTTCAACCTGGATGGACCCGATGGAGCCAGATGTTACTGGCGTGACCTGAGGAAGGACCCAGTGCAGTTCAGCAGACGCAACTTCGGTGGCGGTTCGCTGATGGTGTGGGGAGCCTACTGCTGGGACAGCAAGCTGGAGCTCGCATTTGTTTCCTGCCGAATGGACTCAGAAGAGTACCAGCAAGTTCTGGAATCCAACTTATTGCCGTTCCTGAGTCGCAGGCGACGACAAAGGTTGGTCTTCCAGCAGGACAATGCAAGTGTTCATGCTAGCAGGTCAACTTCCGCATGGCTGCAGCGACAGAAAGTGGAGGTTATGGCGTGGCCTGCGTGCAGTCCTGATCTGAACCCAATGGAGAACCTTTGGGGAATAATTGTGCGACGAGTCTACGCCAACAGCAAACAGTTTTCCACCATCGACGAGCTGCGAACTGCGGTCATGGATGCGTGGAGAAGCATCGACCCTTCAGTCCTCAAGAACCTAACAATGAGTATGCCGAATCGACTCATGGAGCTCTCATTCAAACAGGGTGCATCAGTTGATTATTGATTTTCATGAAGTGTACTGTTGAGTTTGTATAAATAAACTGTTGTATGAAGTGGACGTATACTATGAAACGGTCGAAATTCGAAAAAATACTTCTAAATTATTTCTTTATAAACTTAAAATTTTGAAAACACGTTTTCCATAGTTTTTCAATGCAGCGAATCCGCTAATACATACTGCTAAATTAGATCACCCCATTAAGGAAAGTTTTCTGTGAAATAAGGGGTGGACGTACTACTGAAACGCACTTATAATACACGTTTGCTCATGACTTTTAATCTGTATCGGTTTGAGGACTATTCAGGTCGAAACTTATATCACTTCGACTCCTAATTTGGGAAGCGATGGCGTTGAAAAGTCACTGTGGGAAGCTCTTCCGTTCTTGAAGCACGTGCAGAAGGAAGTTCCTCCCAGGTTATTGAATAGATTTTTTTGAGGACCATGTCTTTGCAGGTTAATAGTTTATTACTTTCTCCCCCCTAAATTTATTAGTATTGATTAGCGTTTTTCGACAAGTTATTGTTCTTATTAATTTCTCTGTTATCTATTGTGGAAAATCGGCACAGTTCCTCTTTTCTGCCTTTATCCTTATGCTACGAGGAGGAGGTGGGGGAAAACTCCGTCATGATGTAGAATTCTTACGCAGAAGCGCTAGAATCATCTTAGATTCGAACAATATCCAAGAACACATAGTTAGCAAAACTGCAACCTTTCTTATAATTTTCAACGACAATAAAGTAGGCGTGCCATCGGACATGCCTTGGCGGCCGCCGCACTTAAAAGAATTCGCGGGATGAGTATTTCGAGCCTCTAGCGAAGTAGTATGGAAGCAGTTTAGCCGCGCGACTTCTATGAAGTGCGGCTTTTCGGTGACATGCCTGCTCACACGGCGAAATATGGATGTACCACTTTGTCGTAGGAAATCGGGCGGGTTGCCTGAGTAGGAGGCGTTTGGTGAGGCTTCGGTATCCTATACCTCCAACCGTGGTGAAGTGGGCATTGAAATCGGCGAAGGGCTTGTAATAACCACTCCAACTAACCTAATGGCACACGCGTAAATTCGCATCAGTAGTCCTGTTTAATTTCTCTACCACTTTCAAGAGGCTTATTATTGCAGGGCGAGAGCGTTCGCATAGCGGAGTGGAAGTTTGAAGCAAAGAAACAAAAGGGCGAAGCTGCCCTTGGTCCGATCGGATATTCTGCATGGGACTTCACAGGGCAGGTGTGCAATTTTCGTGCTCATTCTTTCGACACCCTGGCCAATAGACGACGAGTTTCGTCATTATGCTAATCGATATATCCAGTAGTGTCTAATTTTAGCGAGAATACCACGCCACACATCACTATTTTCTCACTCGACGAACACTGTATGTTGTTGTTTGGAGGGTTATCGACGGAGATTTGGCCCTTCATGATGTCCAGAGATGGCTTATCAACATTCAGGCAAGCGTTCTGAGTTTTCCTTAAGATCTTCTTCATTTATGTAATGGTTATTTCCTAGGCTCGAGCTCCCAATTCTTGTGTCGTCCTAGTTGGAACTCACGTCGATCAAATCTCTTCGAATCCAACGAAATTTCCTCATGGTTTTCTTGAAGAGATGGAGAGCAAAGTGAGTGAAATCATTGCAACTAGCTTCAAATTGTTAAGTGATAACCTTTCACCTTAGGTCCGATCACGATTCATGATAGTCGATGCGGACAAGCATGGCCTACCACGTGTTCTAGACCTTGTTTTGGTTAATGGGAAAGCGAAAAGTGACATCAAGGTAGTTCGTTATCGGCCGGCTATATGCGTAGATTATCTGCTTGGCCTTTGAAATCCATTTGAACGAGATCATGCTCCAGTTGGTAACTGTTTTCAGAATCTGTTGAATGTGATCTACAACTCTGGCTGGGAAGTCAGGATTGGCAAGGAACGCGCACTTGATCAGCAAATTCCGTCCGCCTACATCGCTATGTTGAAAGTTAGCAACGATTTTTTGAGCTTTTAATTCACTTGTTGTTTTTTCCATGGTTTTCCATAATCTCTTCTCATAAGTGACAAGTTCAGCAAGC